AAAACATCTAAATGATAAAACATAAAACATATTTGGCTTGTAAAATTATATACTTTGATGGATCATAATCTTGTGTAGATTGAGTCATCATTGCTCGAATCTTATCTTCTTCAGAACCATCAAGTCTTGTAAGATCTACAGCTCTACCTAAATTAGATTCATCTTTTAAGTTACTAAATGAAGGTGTTTCATTTCTGTCCCAAGACCGTTTTTGTTGAACTGTTAATGGAACTCTAGCAACAATAAGGCTAGTATTTTTTGCAATCAATGCATTATCATCTGTATAATCTGAAAAAATTATTTTTGTTGCACAAATGTTCGTATCCTCCACAAAAATGATGTAATTAATTATAGAATAATAAATAAAAAGTCATAATAAAAACATTTATTAATATTTGCCTTCTTTAGTTTGCGCATTTGTTATTTGTAGATCAAAATCAGTGTTCTTTCCTATACGCTTTTGATGAAAAATAGCCTTTTTTAAATCTGCTACAGAAATATGTAACCCATCAAAGGACACAGTATCATAGTCCAGAGTGGATTTGAATTTATAGTGTACCGACATTTTTGTTGTTTATATGTCCTGAAAAGTAATGGTGAAAAATAAAATTACAACTATGTACAAAATAATATTACAGCCAAATGTATGGAATTTGTAAATAATTAAAAAAATATAATTTCTTATACACAAAATTCTAATGATAGTAACAATTCTGATGACATATTTAAAAAGTACATAACAAGATATAAAAATTTCTGATAACAAAAAATAAAAAGAAGTTCCTTTATTACTTACATAAAGGAATATATTTGAATGCTTCAAATGTACATTTTCTTTAAGTCATATGTATAAAACATATTTCACTCAATATATACTAAAAATTAATTGTTGAAAAATTTCTTAATCATTGGAAGTTAATTTTATTTTTCTATCTGTGCTTTAGACAGATTTATATGCACATGTAATATTATATAGGGTGTTCTAAAAGGTGGGTGCCAACTGATGTACCAACCTTTATTTAGGAGGTCAAATAAGTTCATATTGTGGACTACTATAAATGTATTTTCAATATACAAGCATTTAATGAGATTCCACAAATAAAAATGAAGCAACCAAACATTTTAGTGATCTAGGAGGCCAGACATTGAGAGAATTGGTGATTAAGGAAATAACTAAACAATGCTTTCCAATACAGAAACAACAGTCAGTCACTTATTTATTAATCAGCAACTCTACAGAGCCATGAAACCCAGCTATGAAAACAACATTACTTAATGGACAATTAATTTTTGATTTGTTATAATTTCTGCTATGTAATTTCTTCATTTATCTTTCCTCTTCTATTGCTATCTAATAACTACCTTCTAGATCTCCTAAATACACTGTATCAATTTGACAGCAATCTTTTAGAACCCACTGTATTCTGTATAATTTCAAATTTATTTACAAAAT